TCACAAAATTTTTCAAAGTCATGATTTTCAAATTCCCCACCATGATCACTCCTAATGGAAACAATATTCACACTTTTCTCATTCATAAGGACTTTCGCTAGTTTTTCAAAAGAATTGAAAGCATCACTTTTATGTTTCAAAAATGAAGTCCATGTGAATCGAGAGTAATCATCCACAATCACAAATGCATAGTAGTTTCCACCATAGCTTTTAGTTCTAGTAGGACCAAAAAGATCCATGTGCAAAAGTTGCAAGGGACGTGTGGTAGTAACCACAATATTACGTTAAAAAGAGATTTTCACTTGCTTCCCTTTTGTACATGCATCACACAATCTATCCTTTTTGAACTTAAGCTTAGGTAGACCTATTACTAGGTCTTTGGCTATTACTTTATTTAGTTGACTCATGTTAATATGTCCTACTCGTCTATGCCATAACCATGCATCATTATCTTTAGAGACCAAACATTTAGGTTCAAGAGAAGACATACTATCAAGGTCAATCATATAAATGTTATCACATCTATGTCCAATGAGTCTGATATTTTTATCATCCTTAGATTCAACTATGCATGTGGAAGTATTAAATTTTATATCAAAGCCTTTGTCACATAATTGACTAATGCTAAGGAGATTATGTTTCAACCCATCAACATACAACACATTTTCAATTAATATAGTTGAAGAGTTACCTACATTACCATAGCCAAGAATTTTTCCTTTGTTGTTGTCACCGTAAGAAACATTCCCGTGTTCCCGTCTATGAAATGTTGAGAACTTTGAAAGATCTCCGGTCATGTGTCTTGAGCAACCGCTATCCAAATACCATTTAGTACTTTTTGCTCTAAAACAAACCTACAACACAAGAAAAATAATATGATCTATTGGTACCCTTTGTTCTTTTGGGTCCTTACATGTTAGAATTGATACATACACTAAAGCACAATAGTCCTATGTATTAGTATTGCAATATTAAACATAAATGAGCATTATTCAAGGGGGAAATATTACAAATATCATTGCTGTCCAAGTTGGGCAGAATTGAGTATAAATGATTTGTGGAGAATTTAACAACTTAACAACAATATTTTTAAGGTAGGAGCATGATACACTTAAGCACAATATTTATACTAAGCATGTGCATCAAAAGATAGTTCAAAACAGTCCATACATGCTTCTTTTATATTAAATAGTGACTAGATATCATGTGCAAAAAAAAATATAACTATAAAACAGTCCATGGCACATGATACATACATATCCACTAAGTCTTCTTAGGAACATATATCATGTTCTTTACCTTGGGGCTAAAGAACATGCTAGATGTGTTAGTTTGAGGTCCATAAGATGTTGAAGCAATGTTGCTCACATTTATAGTCCTCTTAGGAACCCACTTGAGATTAGTTCCTTTTAGGCCATATTTCTTAATATTACATTGATATACAAGATGACCATTCATGCAACAATATGTACATTTCTTAAATGGTAGCTTAGACATGAACCTAGGGGGATAGTGGTTTGTCTTTCTTGGTTGAACAAAGGGAGGTTTTTGAAAACCAAGTCCATATTTAGTAGATTCAACCCTTTGTCTACCAAGGAGGACATTCAAGTTGTCTCTCCCACTAGTCATTCTATCAACCATTATCTTTAACCTATCCACTTCATTAGATAATTCAACACATTTAGCACATGGAATAGTGGAAGGGGGATTCACATCATCACATGATCCAACAAGACAATTCATAAAAAGATTTTCATTTTTAAGATTTTCATTGTCTTTCATTAGATCATTTACAATGGTTGTTAAGCTATCAACATTGTTTTGCAAGTTATTTTTCTCCTTTTTAATTTTCTCAACCTTAGAGGTTAATTTTTCATTCTCAACTTGCAAACATTTATAAGCATATAATAGATCATCATAAGATGGACCAATCATAGAAGAAGTATCACATGAACTAGTGTCACACATAGAGTTAGAATTATTACATGAACTACTATCACATAAAGAGTTAGAAGAGTGACAAGAGTATACCTCGGTATGTTCATCCTATTTGCCATTAAGCACAAGTTTGCCTTTTCACTACTTGAAGAGCTTGATGAACTTGATGAATCATCCGAGAATGCCATGTAGGCCTTCTTTTTCGTTTTGCCTTTACCTTTCTTGAACTTGCCGTTGTCATATTTATTCTTTTTATTAGGACAATCCTTTTGGAAGTGGCCTTCTTTTCCGCACTCAAAACAAGCATTGTTTGAGTTTGCATTGCTTGAATTGTTGTCTTTTCTTCTTTGGCCAACATCTCTTCTTCTTCTTTTGTTGAACTTCTTGTTGAAGAAATTAGTGAATGACTTGTTAAATTTTTTCACAAACATTGTCATTTCGTCGTCTTCACCGGAGCTTGAATCACTTGATGATGTATCAGTACTTTCCTTACTTTCCTTTGAATGAGATGATGATACCTTGAGAGCTATTCCCTTTTGTTTCTTCTTGTTAAGCTCACGGTTAGCCCTTCTGTTTAACTCCAACTCATATTCTTGAAGCTTTCCAAATAAGGTAGCTATTGACATTGTAGAGAGGTCTTTAGCTTCATAGATTGCCGAAGTCTTTGCATCCCATTCCTTAGTAAGACATCTCAGAATTTTGTTAACTAACAGTTCATCATCATGGAAAATATTTAAAGCATTCATTGAAGTAACTATATGCATAAAACGTTTTTGCATGTCAAATATAGATTCACCCTCATGCATCTCAAAGAGCTCAAACTCTCTAGATAATGCATTTTGTTTAGAACGCTTTACTTCACTAGTACCTTCATGAGTTGTTTCTAAAATAAGCCACATCTCACGTGCGGTCTTACATGAAGATACTCGGTAGTATTCGTCTTTGCCAAGTGCATTAACTATTAAGTTCTTTGCTTTTGAGTTGTATTGGGCTTTCTCTAATTCATCTCTAGTAAAATCTGTGTGTTTTTTAGGCACAGTTTTTCCATTGTCATCTAGTGTGGTTGGAGGCTGATATCCTTCCTCTACACTATACCAAATTTTAAGATCTACTGACTCAAGAAAAATCTGCATCCGAGTTTTCCAAAAAGGATAATCAATCCCATTGAAAAATGGAGGACGGTTGGTTGAACCACCCTCAAGAGGAATATCCTGATGGAAAGAAGCCATAGGATCTTTAACTCTTTGGCAGATAGCCAATCACTCAGAGCACGAAGCTCTGATACCACTTGTTGGGCAAGTGGCTACTTACACAGGACGCTTACAGAACACCTAGAGAGGGGGTGAATAGGTGTTCTAAACTTTTTCAAAATCTTTTTAAATTCAGTAAACAATTACACAATTTTTCTTCAATCCCTATATGCCCAAAATAGTTTTTCGCAATGCTAAGAACAATGTAGTAATAGAAAGCGTACCTTAGCAATTTATAGAGTATAAACGCAGCAATTATAATAGAACTAGTGTAACTGTCAGTCTATAAACAAAATATTCAGAAATTAAATCAGAGAGACAATGGACACACGATATATCCTGGTTCACACCCACTAAGCCTAAGTAGGGTGCTACGTCCAGACTGAAGTAGCTGCAGATATTTTATTTATCACAAGTGTATCAGTTTTACAAACACGCGTCACACATGCAATCAAACAAGATATCAAAAATCTTCCTAGTGCCTACACTGCTCCAAGCTCTGAGAATACTCTCAAGCCGAACCTACGGAGTTCACCAACTCCTCTCACACAAGACCTCCACTCTCCCTAGTGGATTCTTGAGGCTTCAGGCCTTGAGACACACTCTCAAGCCAAGCACAAAGTCGCCAACCCACTCGGTTGCACCCACACACCTAGGACAGATTTACAGCACACAACTACTCCACTTTAACAACCAATACAATATCTCATATTTATAACAGGAAATTTTTCAACCTATTACAATGTCCTATCACACTTGATATATCAAATAAAGCACAATAACAAGCTCCAAAAATGATATGATGTATGCAGAAAATTTAGAGCACAAGTATGTGTATCACAAACTATAAATTTTCAGCAATAAGGAACTTGTATTTATTTATATCAAGTATCAAAATGATAGACACTAAAAATTCTGATTTAAAAAGAAATTATCACATTATATTCAGAAAAATCAGAATTGTAATTTCTCTCAAAATTTCACAAAAAATTCAGAATTAGTTCTAGATAAATCTTTTATTGATAAACCACAAGAAATCTGAGTTTTAATCAAAATATATCTCAATTAAAACAGAAAATTCAGATTTAATATTTCAACAATAAAATTCCTAGAACAATTCAAGATTAGGTTTCTAAACAATAAATCCCAAACAAAAATCTGAATTAAACACAATATGCTTCAATGAAATCAGAAATTCAGATTTAACATTCTTAACCAAAATTCTTCAAGATTTCAGAATATAGGGTTCAAATAGAAATATTAACCAAGAATATGAGTAGATTAGAGTTTACCAAAATGAAGCCCCAAAAATTTTGTTTAATTTGCTCCCTCAAGAAAACCCCAACATTCAGTATCAATCATAGAAGTGTAGATCTTATTCTTGATGGACTTTTAGCTTTTGCAGATTTTTCACTCTTGGAGATGCACGCACAAAATCTCAGTTTCTCCGGTTCAAAGGCACGAAGAAGATAACTATGCATAATCGCTTTTCACCGTGTTCAGAGACGCTCTCTGTTTGTGATTTCTGAAACTTGCTTTTTCTTTCTAAATCTTGTTTTTGCGCAGAGAGAGAGAGAGGAGGAAAATTTGTAAGAATGATAATGATGCTTTTTCTTTTTGTTTTATTACACTCTTTTTATATTGCTTAGTATCTTCTTAAGAGAACCCACGTGACGTGAAGTTTTCGTATATCTTTTCAATTGGTAAAGCTACTTTTTCTTATTATATTATATTTAAGAAAACTGAATTTGAAAAGCTAATCCACGTGAATGCAAAGCCTTACCTGAATACTTTCATTATTACTTTTTCGAAAAGCTAACGTCCTTTTTCATTTTAGTTATATTAAATGATTTAGTTTTATTATAGTTTTAAAACATGTTTTTATCAAAATCAAAATCATTATTATTTATTATGAAATTAGCATGATATGCAATAATATGTATTGGCATGCAATGGAGCTTGGAATCATGCTTAATGATATATCTAATGTGTTACAAAAAATCTAAAATACCTAATCACTTGTATCTTCACACTCCATCTTCAATTTGAGACTTCTTATAAATCCTTTGTCATCATCAAAATATATATTCCATATTCCATAATGCATAGGAGGTCTTCAGCATTTTGGCAAAATTTACTATGTGGCATTTTGGTGCTTTTTTTTTTGCCACTGTTTCTACATTATGAATGGTGGCATGTGGACGCCACGGTCAATGCATGTGCGGTTATGTCTTTTAGTTTAAGTAAGGAATGGGTTGCTGTTGGTCATGACCAATTTATTTTTCATTCATTGGAAAAAAAAATCAAAAGTTAGTGTTGTTTTTTGTAATATTTTAAAATTTATGAATTTTTAAAATAAATTAGTTAAAGCATGTACTTAATTTACAATAAAAAAATTTAAATATATTTTTACAAATAATGAAATAACTTTAAGATGTCAATTTTTCAAGAACTAAGTGTTTTACATTTAGAAAAAATTAATGTCTTAATGTTAATGAAATATACAATATTAGCAACAACAAAAAAACCGAGAGATGACCGCTTAAGATTGAATATTTCATTTATTATTTTATGTTGTTATTTAAAGAAGCTATTTATACATTACTTAAAAATCTATTTTTTTTTAAAAAAATTACACATTTTTTATACTCAAGATTCACTTAAATGTTGGATTAACATAAGAATATTATCAAAACATTTTTTGAAATATATTTTTTAACATTTCCTTAACATTATTGGATGAAATTTATATGAACTCACTAAATAAAGTAAACACACGTTCTGTTCACCAAAAAAAAAAAAAAGTAAACACACGTTCTATTTACAGGAGCATTCAATAATATTAATAAAAATCTTAAGCGTGACAAATAATAGATTTATAATATTTCTCTTAACATAATCTATGATATGTCATGAAAAGAGTTAAAATCAAATAATATTTTTCACTAATCAAACTATAACTTTATTAGTTATTACAGTATATATAATAATTTTGGCTTTTTGACCCTTGTAGTACAAGAATAAAACACAATACCGGTTTAGTTCTTTTGTCAAACTATTCACCTAACTACTGTGAGTACGTTTAAGTCGCATATATTATTCCATACGTGACTTATGTAAAACCCCAAAAATATCTATCACACTCTGCAAGATGCGTATAAGAAATGTGCAAGGCTTGAACACGCATAGTTAGGATACGTGTCTTATATTGTGTCGATTTTTACACAAATAACGTATTAGGTAATGCACGACTTAAATGCTCAAATATCCCATGCGATTTCACTACATTAATTTGCCCAAAAAATGTTTATTTTTTTTTGCTTTAGAGTGGTCAAAAAGCCAATAATTTTCACTGCAGTACAGATTCGTCACGGCAAACGTCACAACTCAATACAAATCTACTCTGCTCCCCGGATAAATTCAATCACTCCAACCACTCTTTTAAGTTTTAAGTCATTAAGTCAAGTTTCTTGTTATCGAATTGGTAGCAGTAGCACTCTATCAGGCATTCACGCGCCGTCACCACAACCACCATGCTCCACCAGCGCATCCTCCTCATACTGTACCCTGCACAAGGCCACATAAACCCTGCCCTCCAGCTCGCAAAGAGACTCATTGCTTTGGGTGCACATGTCACTCTCTCCACCACCCTTCACATTCACCGCCGCATAACCAACAAACCCACACTCCCCGGCCTCTCCTTTGTCCCCTTCTCCGACGGCTACGACGGTGGTTTAACCGCCACCGGGGATGTTGATTACACGCTCTACGCTTCGGAGCTCAAGCGTCGTGGCTCCGAGTTTGTAACCAATCTCATAGCCTCCAGCGCAGAGGAGGGTAACCCTTTCACTTGTTTAGTCTACTCTCTCCTCCTTAATTGGGCTGCGGAGGTTGCGCGTGGGATTCACCTCCCGACGGCGATGCTGTGGGTTCAACCAGCCACTGTGTTGGACATTTCGTACTATTACTTTCACGGATACGATGATTACATAAGTGAGAAAACAAAAGAACCCTCTTGTTCCATAGAATTACCGGGATTGCCATTATTGCTAGCACCCGGTGACTTACCTTCATATTTATTAGCCCCAAATTCAAGTGTGTCATTGTCTGTGATTGTTTCATTGTTTAAAGAGCAGTTTGATGAGCTTGACGTTGAAACAAACCCAACAATACTTGTCAACACATTCGAAGCTTTGGAACCAGAAGCGTTGAGGGCCGTTGATAAGTTCAACATGATCCCAATCGGGCCGTTGATTCCCTCGGCCTTCTTGGATGGGAAAGATGCCACTGATACTTCATTTGGTGGTGATATATTCCACCCATCAAATGGTTACATTGAATGGTTGGACTCAAAGGCGGTGTCATCGGTTGTTTATGTGTCATTTGGTAGCTTCTGTGTGTTATCTAAGATACAAATGGAGGAACTTGCACGTGCGTTGTTGGATTGTGGATGTCCATTCTTGTGGGTCATTAGAGAAAAAGAAAAGAAAGAGAAAGAAGAGGAGGGGCTGAGCTGCATAGAGGAATTGGAAGAGAAGGGGAAGATAGTGAAATGGTGTTCTCAAGTGGAGGTTCTGTCACATGCTTCATTGGGTTGTTTTGTGACACATTGTGGTTGGAATTCGACCATGGAAAGCTTGGTTTCGGGGGTTCCTATGGTGGCATTTCCACAGTGGCTAGATCAGAAGACTAATGCAAAGCTAATAGAAGATGTGTGGAAGATAGGGGTGAGGGTGGATCATAAGGTGAATGAGGATGGGATAGTACAAGGGAAGGAAATTAGAGAGTGTTTGGAAGTTGTGATGGGGAGTGGAGAGAAAGGAAATGAACTGAGAAGGAATGCAAAGAAATGGAAGGGTTTGGCTAAGGAAGCTGTGACAGAAAAGAATCTGAGGGTTTTCATGGACACTGTTTCTGGATCACAATGAGTTTGATCGTGTCGGAATTGTCCTCTTCTTTATTGACTTAGTGTGTTTTCTTTTTTCTTTTTCTACTTTTCTTTGCCCAGTTTCATTTGTCTTTCTGTTAATTGGTTCACCGAGGGATCAAGTCAATTTCTTCTTCATCAATCAAGCAGATAGGGCCCAAGTTAAGCTAATGAAATTGCGTGTTTATTTAGTTATTTTCTAAATATTCAATAAAATAAATCCAAGTTAACAGTTACTAGTAATTAGGTGACAACAAAGAATAATAAGATTTTGTGTCTAGATTTTATGAGATCACGATTATGACTGTCGATCATCAAATTGTTACTTAATTTAATACACAATTATAAGGAAGAAATTATTGCATATTTACTATGTCAGGTAAGCTTGCGTTAATTCCATTTATTTTAATTTTTAACCTTGAATAATAATAGTAAAGTCGATTATTTGCTTATATATTCATTTTTTTAATATAAAGTAAAAAAATAAGTGAAAAAAATAATTCAATAATAAATTTCATAATTTTTAAAGTTAAATTTTTAAAGTTAAAATTTTAACATGTAAAAAAATCAAGGCAATTTTCCATCTCATTTTGCGCGAGTGCAATAATTAATTTAATATATCCTATTTCATTTTTACATGTTCATTTCAACCTTTAATAATTTTAACCACCTACTCTATCTGTGATTCAGTGACTGTGGTCTTTTAAATAAAATTTCTTAATATTTATATATAATTGTAAGAAAAATATTTCTACTACTAATTAACATATAGTAACATAGTAAATTTGAATATTCAATTGTATCATTTTTAAACTCTTTTTATCTTTTTAAACAATATATGCTTTAGTATAGAAATATTTTAATACTATTATTCTGCTACATATTTATAAAAAATAATTGTAAATATAATTATATGAAAATTTAAATAAATCCCTAAAAAATAGATTTATTATTAGCGCTGTAAAAAAAGTAATCAGATTATACAATTTCAAATTTTGCAATACATTTTGTCTTTTTCCTATCATCTTGTCTTTAGCATAAAGGGTAAAAAATTAGTACGAAGAATTTTAAATTCATACTTTTTCATCTTCTTTTTTTAATTTCCAAAAAAATATATAACTATTAAATTTTCTGTCTATACTATCTTAACATAGGTTAACTAGTAATTATATAAGGATAGGACATAGCTAGGAGAAATGCCACCAGTGCTGCTCACACTCTATCTCACCGTGCTCTACCCTTTTCGGAGTCCATATGGATTTATTTTTTTTTGGTAATTACCATATGGGTTTATTTTACCACAATATGAATGAACGAAAATACAATACATTTACCATTATATTTTTCCATTAATTACCATAAATTTGCAGAGTCTTTCTTGAAATTATTTATAAGCATTGTGCAATTTAAATAGGAAAAATAAAAAATTTAAAAAATGTTTGTTCTTTTAATTAAAGGATAGTCATTTTAGTTAAAATTAATATTTTTTATTTAAAATTTAAATTAAAAAACTCTTATTTTCTTTTTTTTTTTGAATACAAAAAACTCTTATTTTCTTTTTTATAATTTTTAGTGTGAATCTCTTTTTCTCATTTAAAATAATACAATTAATATACCAAAAAAATAAAAATAAAAATAATACAATTAAATATTCTTTAAAAGAATAAATACCCCTCCCAAAAAAAATATGATTTGCATTTTGCAGTAACGGATGCGTCAATGATTTTCCAATTTGCGTCAATGATTTTCCAATTTCCATCATTAATAAAGGCCGAGAAAGGCAGAACACCCAGGAATAATCGAGATTTTCCAGGTACTGGATAACAGGTTTCGCAATAGAGTGTGAAATTGGGCTCGACTGGGTCGATTTTTATCCTGAAAAGTTGAAGTTTATGTCAAAATAAAATTAATTTAACCTGACCCGATAGCATAGTATGAGTCTAACAGTTGACCTAACTTGACTCATTTATAAAAAATAAAAATAAATAGTCTGGTCTGACTCGTTAATCTATTAATTTTTAAATTCCAATTACAATTATCAATTAACTTCACAAAGTACTCAAATTCTGTTGTTAAAACAAAAATCACAATTTTAATGTCCCAACAAAATCATGAATCACAACAACAACTTATAACAATTTACATTTAAGTCATTTTCAAAAACAAAATGCTCAAACTAAATATAATATATTTCATCAGATCCAGCAAATCAATCCATACTATGTAAATTAAAATAACTTTACGAATCTTACAAACATATCATGATACTTATAGTAGCCAAATACAATTCCAAGGTTACATAAATTGGCAAACAATTTGTAAATATAGAAAATAAAAAACAAGATTAAAGAATAGAAAGAAAATAAGATTAAGAAACAAAAAAATCTTTTTATACATTTTGTTTTTTCTTCAAGCCATACATACTTATTACGTATCCAATCTCTATCATATATTAAAGCTTCAATGGTATCTTTAGTCAAACTAGAACGATAAGTATCAATAACTCTTCCTCCAGCACCAAATGTTGATTCTGATGCTATTGTAGAGATTGATATAGATCTTATGTCCCTCCTAAATGTGATATTTGTGGGCTATGAAGCACCGACACTTCAAAAATCCTGACGTGTCGTGTCCGACACTTTCTGACACTCTCTAACACTCCAACACGAGTTGTAGAAACTCAAAAAAGGTTCAAAAGTTGTGTTGCGTTGCGTTGCGTTTTTAGTTTCAATTATTAGATTTGTTGGATTACGTCAGTTTAATATAAATATTTAAAATATCTTATGTTTCTTTGCAAAATTGATGGGTATTATAAATTTAATTTAATTTTTTTTGTTAAATTATTGAATATTAAATATTAAAAATTTGTCCTAACGTATCGAAATCTAATATTTTTGAGAACTAACGTGTCGGAGTGTCGTGTCCCGTGTTGGTATCAGTGCTACATAGTTGGTGGGGATCGAACCTAGGTCCTTCTATCAACTACTCAGCTCATATGCACCAACATATAGATCTATGCCCCTCTCAAATGTGATATTCGTGGGGATCAGACCTATGTCTTTCCACCACCTACTTAGCTCACATGTACCAACTGAGCTATTACCATTTATTACTATAATGAATTATTTTATTTTATTTTATTTAAAATAAATAATATGATATATGTCAGCCTGTAGACTTATAAGCCCGATATGTAAAAAAAGTCTATGATTTGCTTCTTAACTAAATAGGCTTTCTTAAAAGCTCGGGTCTGTTTTATTTGCCTATATATAATTGACCGAGTCTAATTTAATATAGGCAAAGTCATACGCACTTGTAGACCGACCGACCCGGCCTGCTTTCACCTCTAACTTAGCAACAGTCTACATAGATAAATCTTTTCTAGATTTGTGGACATGGACAGACACAGGTTTTGTGGACCTGGATTCCACCATCGCTTTCGACCATTTTAATGTGCTTTGCGCATACAAAAAAATAAAAAATAAAAAAAATTCAATCTGCATTGGACGAGGAAATTCAGATCACACAAGAGAGCTGATTAATCAATATAATATAATTTTTTTAAAATTATTAAAATAATATGATTTGATCACATTAGAGCCCCACGTACACTTGTTTACAAGTGAGTACATGATAGTGATTATATTATTTTAAAGGAAAAAATAAGTCATTCCAGTTAATTAAAATCACTATTTTTTATTAAAATATATAAATTAAAAAAAAAAAACTATAACTTTCTTCATGATTTCTCTTTCTCTCATTATAAAACATAATAATTTTAATGAAAATGACCCAATTTTACAGGATAAACATTAGGGTTTTATTAATCTCATTTCACATGAGATAGTTATCTTACGTGGTAGAGAGAAAATGGGTGGGTCTCACCATTACAAGAAAAAAGTGAGGTGTAAAAATCGAAGTGAGAGAAAATGAGATAATTACCTCATGTAAAAGTAGAGTAATATTTCTCTAAACATTAATCCCTATGTTAAATCATATTATTTTAATAGTTTTTTTAAAAAAGCTAAATCACGCTGATCAGCCCAACTCAGCTTTTAGCCACAGGGAAGCATTATGCAACATCATTCAAAAAAGTCTTAAGATTTGTTTCCGAAGGACCACCTTCCTCGGATGCGTCTCTAGCCAATACTTTCCATTTCTTTGCATTCCCTCTTAATTCATTTCCTTTCTCTCCATTCCCCATTACAACTTCCAAACATGTCCTAATTTCCTCTGCTTGTACTACCCCATCCTCATTCACCTCATGATTCACTCTCACCCCAGTTTTCCACACATCTTCTATCATGTTTGCGTTTGTCTTTTGGTCTGAACACTGAGGAAATGCAACAACGGGAACCCCAGAAACCAAGCTTTCCATGGTCGAATTCCAACCACAATGTGTCACAAAACAACCCAAAGAAGCATGTGACAAAACCTTCACTTGAGAACACCATTTTACTATCTTCCCCTTCTCTTCCAATTCCTCTTTGCAGCTCAGCTCCTCCATTTCTTTCCCATTCTTTTCTTTTTCTCTAATGACCCACAAAAATGGATGTCCACAATCTAATAACGCACGTGCAATTTCCTCCATTTGTATCTTAGATAACACACAGAAGCTACCAAATGACACATAAATAACCGATGACACTGCCTTTGAGTCCAACCATTCAATGTAACCATTTGATGAGTGGAATATATCACCACCAAATGAAGTATCGTTGGCATCTTTACCGTCCAAGAAGGCAGAGGGAATCAACGGCCCGATTGGGATCATGTTGATATTATCAACGGCCCTTAACACCTCTGGTTCCAATGCTTCAAATGTGTTGACAAGTACCCTTGGTCTTGGGTTTGTTTCTACGTCAAGCTCGTTAAACTGCGCTTCATACATTGGAAAAAAGACGTAGTGAAAGTCAAAACAAGAGTCCAATAAATGCGAGGGTAAGTCGCGGGGTGCTAGAAACGATGGCAATCCCGGTAATTCTATTGAACTTGAGGGCTCTTTGATTTTGTTATTGATGTAGTCACCGTATCCGTGAAAGTAATAATAGAAGATGTCGAACACCGTGGCTGTTTGAACCCACAGCAGCGCCGTCGGGAGGTGAAACCCACGCGCCACCTCTGCGGCCCAGTTAAGGAGTAGAGTGTAGACCAAGCAAGTGAAAGGGTGACCCTCTTGCGCGCTGGAGAGTATGAGATAGGGGACAAACTCGGTGCCTCGGCGCTTGAGCTCTGACGCGTAGACCGAGTAATCTCCATTCCCGTCGGCGGTGATGCTGAAACCAGCATCGTAGCCGTCGGAGAAGGCGACGAGGGAGAGGGCAGGGATGTTAACTTTATTGGTCATGCGACGATACATGTGAAGAGTGACAACAAGAGTTACATGTGCACCAAAAGCAATGAGTCGCTTTGCGAACTCAAGGGCAGGGTTTATGTGGCCTTGTACAGGGTATGCTACGAGGAGGAAGCGGTGGTGGACCATGGCGGCAGTGCCTGGTTATGGTTATAGATAACCAAGGTAGCTAGCACTCTTGACTGCGCAGCCATTTTCTTGGGTCCATATATTCACACAAACACACGCAAGCAATTACGTCATTGTAAATTTTAACATTTTTCTTTTTTTTTCTTTTATTTTTTTCAGGTGATGGAGTCCACAAGTTTATCTCTATGATATGAGATAACTTATCTCCTTTCACATGAGATTAATAAAACTTTTTTATAATGATGTTTTGAATGTGTATTTAATGAATATTTATTGATTTTAGATATAATATAAATGCATTAATGACATATATATATATATATATATATATATATATATGAAATTTACATTTCTGTAGCTGCTGTAAGTGTAGCAATCAAATACTTGTCATATATATATATATATATATAAACATTAAATGCTGGGAATCATAACCATATAAAAAATGAAAACATTAAATGTGAGGAATCATAACCATACACATGTCGTTGATGTACGTAAAGTGATTCTAGAAATGATTTTATGGGGTTTACATTTCTGTAGCTATTGTAGGTGAAACAATCAAATACTTGCCATATATATACTTGAAAGCATTAAATGCGAAAAATCATAACCATACAAATGATGAAAGCATTAAATGTGAGGAATCATAACCATACACTTGTCGTTGTTGTACGTAAAATGGCTACAGAAATAATTTTATCATATATATATATAGGGATTTACATTTCTACAGCTGTTGTACGTGCATCAATTAAATAATTGTCATATATATACTTGAAAGCATTAAATGTGGGGAATTATAACCATACATCTAGCAACAACACTTGTCGTTGCTGTACGTAAAGCGATTGCAGAAATAATTATACTATATATATATATATTCAAATAATCTAAAGGTTGAGAAAAAAATAAAATGTTTTTAGTATAAAGAAAAAATAAAATGTTTTTAGTCTTATACTAGAATGAAAAGATTTGTCTCCTCTTCTCTCTTTATATATAATTATTATTTGAGCATGTAATGAATGCGAATTTAATGATTGAAAAATATAAATAATAATATATAGTAAGTATTAGTGATAATATTTATTTTATAAAATAATAATAGAGACAGGAAAATAAAACAAATAACATTAATTTAGGTTTGATAAATGCATTGATGACCTAGAGCATCAATAAATGATCATTAATTCATTTGACTATGTAATTAATGAGCTTTTATTGATTTAATAAATATAATAAATGGAAATTTAATAAATAACCATTTATGATTGTTATTTTTTAATAATAATAGTGACGAGGAAATGAAACATACTAGCATTGATATTGATTCGAGAATTCAATAAATATTTTTTGATAATTTTTTAAGTAGTATTTTTTATATTATTGGATTATAAAAATTTAAACATATTATAATCCCTTTTATATATTGCATCTAAATAATAATGAAATAAAAGTGATATTTATTTTTATTTGATCCGAGTATTGGAAATATATTTTATGCATAGAAAGTTTTAACAATAATAAGAGGCTGTTTAGATGGGGTTCCAAAAAAAGTAACTTTTATTTGTTTATTTTAAAAGTATTTTTTATTAAAGTTAAAATTATTTAGATTTTTAAAAAAATATTTGATTTTTGAAAAAAAACTTGATTTTTAACTTCTGTTTTTTTTAGTAGCTAAAATTTTTAGCTTAGAAAAAAAAATAAAGTTTTTTTTTTTGTAACTTATGTTTTTTTTAGAAATCGGTATCCGGACAGATTTTTTCTTAAAAACATTTTTTTTTATCTGGAAGAAAACAACGTTTGAAGAAAAAGAAAAAAAAACTCATCAATCAGTCAAACTCATACGTTAATACAAAAAAATTGAAACGTTGCGAGTGTACTACAGAGAGCATCTCTGAAATACATTGAGCATCGTGAATGTGATGCCCTCGTTAAGCATTAGTTTCATTCGATATCAGCTTTTCCCTTTTTTACATTTTAGGTTGTGTCATAACATGGTTGTAGCTTAGAAAGTGGGACATTCGTCATGTTGTTACTCCTTTAATAAAATATTATCGGATTGCCACGTCAGAAAAATTTTTTGTCAAAATGTTACGTCACAATCTCGCTAGTCTGACAAGCGGGAATGGTCTAGACACGTGTCAGCATCTGAATGGTCAACCATTCTTGCTGGACTGCCCAGCTAGAATGACAGAATGCTGACACGTGGCAAAAGTACAGACATCCAGATAATGCTTGTACTTTTGCCACGTGTCAGCATTCTGTCATTCTAACTGGTCAGCCCAGCGAGAATGGTTGACCATTCAGACGCTGACACGTGTCCATACCATTCTCGCTTGTCAGACCAGCGAGATTGTGACATGACATTTTGACAAATTTTTTTCCTGACGTAGCAATACAGTAATTTTTTGCCTAAAAGTGACAATATGGTCAAAGTCCCCAACTACGTCCATGTATAATGTCATTTCAATGTTCCTATCAACATTCTTGCTTTTGACTACGATTTTGTAATGCTTTATGATGTTTGCAAGTAATTTTCACTGGCAGTCCAGTACAAAATTCCAAAAAACTATATATATCCAAAATCTAAATGGGAAAATATAAACCTCTGAAGCATTGATACATGTTGCTCACCCACATGCTCTATTAATTATTCAGCAATATTATATTATTGCCCGTAAACCAAACTACATATATCAAATGACATCAAGGTTTATAAGAGCAACCCTTGGCTATTTAAGAACAAGCAATTTCTGAGGAAATTGGATTTAATGGAAATGATTGATCCCAAGCATATTTGAAGGTGATAGCATCTCTGTAGATAGAGTTACCACCATTAACAAGACAAACATTGCCTGAGACACTCAAAACTGAAGGGTTTATGTGTTCAATGGTTTGAAACCCTCTGCAATTTAACATGACATTCTTTTGAACACAGGGGCAATTGTTGGTGATAGTCACACCCCACTCTGGCTTTCCCTTCAATTTAGCTCCTGTTTGAGATTGTCTTATGGAGAGATCACTCAAGTAGCATTTGCTATTGCCTGAGATAATAGGGGGGGAAATAATAAGATGAGAAGTTATGAACAACAATTTATAATTTTTTTATTTTTCATCAATTGGAAGAAAACATTACCTTGAGAAATGAGGACAAGGAAGAGAATTATGCTGAGAATTTTAATGGTTGAATCAGCCATTTCCAATCACACAAATTGCTAGGTTCTATTCTTGAATTTGTTTAGGCAAAGTACAATGCTGCTATGTAGCGTTATTTATAGGGGGGAAAGAGATAATTTTTCAAGAGATGTCAATTACTCACCAAAAATATAAGAAATTAATTGTAATAGAGTTTTGGTCGATATGGTTTTTTAATTTTTTTAATTTTTTAATTTTTTATAGAATGGTCAATCTTCTTTCTTAAGTATTTAATTATTTTAGATTGAAACTGTAGTTTGGGTTTTTCTTCTCTCATTTTCCTATTTCAAAAACTTTATTTTTTCATCTTTGTTGAATCAAACCTTTTCTTGTTAAATTAGGAGAGAGAGAAAATAATAAGTGAATTTCTTTCTGAAAAAATGCAAATTAAATGTTGAAGAAACTTGCAATATATATATATATATATATATATTGAAGTATTTAATGTTTAATCACTTTTTTATATAACTGGGAAAAAAAAAGGATTTTATAAAAGTTATGTTGTAGGAAAAGTGATTGTGTTATGTTATAAAGATTCGTTTTGCCTGCTGTAGTTTTTTTTTTTTTTTTTGCTTTAAAAAATACGGGTTTCACAAAATGTTGTGTGTGTAGAAATTTTTGTGTGGCCATGTTACATGATGAATGCAAACCCAAAAAAAATTATACAATAAAAGTAAAAATATTTATCCATTTTTTAATGAACTGTGATCAAAACCTCACTGCCTTTTGATTTGATGTGCATAAACTTCAAATCTTCGTTACTGATATTAATACAAAATTACTATGTTTTTTAAAATGCTGATTCAATCGAGTGGAGAAGCAATATAAGTGGTAACGGAATGATGTGTATTTAAATAAATTAAAATCATTTATTACAATTATCATGGGTTCAAGTTCATCCTAGTTATTTCAAAAAAAAAAAAAAAAGTTCATCCTAGTTTCGTCATGCCAGAGAATTATTAAACCTAAGCCAGTAAATATGCGGTGTAATGGCGAGGAGTTTCAGTAGTTTATCACTATCTCTCGGCGCTAATCAAGCCAACTAATCATCACCTCTATTTATATAAATTTTTCCTTTAAACAATGACACGTGCACCTTTGGTGTTTTTTTTAATAATTATATCTAAAGTAAATATCTTTTTGATCCTTAACAAATTTCACGATATCTACTTTAGTCCCTAGCAAATAAAAAGTTATTCTTGATTCCTAAGAAATTCAAAATGAACATATTTAGTTGAAATCGTAATCCCTCACAGATTCAAAAAAGACTCACATTAATTTCATAAAATTTTGCTAAGCACGGAAAAAAATATTTACTCTCATATCTATAATGCTTTTCCAACTGGCTTTTTAACCATTTTGCCCCTAATTAATTATTTAATAACTATTTTGTCCCTGATTGGAAACTATCAACCAATTTGCCCCTCTTTAATCGACTAAGCCAAAAATTTAATCGACTAAATGATCGAATAAAGATTTAGTCGATTAAATCTCCCTATTTAATCGACTAAATTTCTCATACACAAGATTGTTCTTCTGATAAAGAGGTAGATTTAGTCAATTAAGTTGAAGATTTAATCGACTAAATCTTCATTTGATCATTTAGTCGATTAAATTTTTGGCTTAGTCAATTAAAGAGGACAGATTGATAGATACTTTTCAATCAGGGACAAAATAATTATTAAATAATTAATTAGGGACAAAATCACAAAATGGTTAAAATGCTTTCCAACTGTATCAAAAGAAGACAACTGATCCCATATCAATTATTCATTCAATCAGATTGATATGACGTCCTTCCTTATACAGTAAAGGCGTTACACATGTTATTTGAAAAAATAATTCATTATATGCATTAAATTCACATGTCATTAATTTATGAGAAAAATGTGTATCATTCTAAAAGAGATAAAATTATGTCATTTTAAATAAGAGAAATAGATAGATCATGAGAGAGAAAGAGTGAGCAAAACAATAAATAAAAGTGTGAGTCTCACCGCTTTGTGAAAGTAAAATAATATAAATTATGTCATTTAAAGGGAGAAACAATTTTCCCTTAATATATATATCAAAATCAATTCAACTTTAACATAAATACATTTATTGCACTCAGATATTAAATTAATTACTTTATCAATTACTAAATGTATTTATTAAATGGAAAAAGTATGTGTCATTTAAAAGTATGTAAAGTTATGTCATTCTAAGTTAGAGAAAGACATAGATAGATCATGAGGAGAGAGAGTGGACAAAAAACATAAAGATGTGGGTCTCACTTCTTTATGAGCGTGAAATGACACAAGTTTTGTTATTTAAAAGGACAAATATTTTTCTCTTATTAAATTCAATTTAGTAATAAATTTACCATATTTAAGTTAAATTTATACAATGTTAAAAAATATATTAAAAATAGGGAAAAATTATTCTTATGCAACATAAGATAATATCTCTTTCTTGTTATCAAAAATATATATATATATCTCTTTTTTACACATCCATTAATTTCCGTATAGTTTAATTTTTATTTTTATTTTATTTTTATAAATGAGTATTAATAAAGCCCTAAAAAGTAACAATGATCCCATTGCTCATGTGCATGTGTATATATATATATATGGGAAGTATCCGTTTATAAATTTTTTTTTGAATTTTTTTACAAATTACACTATGTTCTATCGGGAGAACATAGTGTAACTAGTGACCTCCCGGGAGGACATAGTGTAATTTGTAAAAAATTTCAAACAAATTTTGTAAACGGATCCTTCCCATTATATATATATATATGGGAAAAATATTTCTCAAGCAGCTTGAGATAAATTTATTTGTTCTCCCGGGAGAACATAATATAATTTTTAAAAAATTTCAAAATTTTTTGTAAACGGATCTTTCTTATATATATATATATAAGAAAAATATTTCTCAAGCAGCTTGAGATAAGTTTATGTGTTCTTCCGGGAGAACATAGTGTAATTTGTAAAAAAATTCAAAAAAAATTTGTAAACGGATCCTTCCTTCCTATATATATATGGGAAAAATATTTCTCAAGTAGTTTGAGATAAGTTTATCTCCGGCTACCACAAAACTACGTCATTTTATTTATTTATTTCCTTATATTAATTTATTCACCTTTGAATTGTATTGGTTATGATTCCCTTTTTCTCTCTCTTCCTTTATCATCATTGATCCATCTTTGTACGGTTATGATTTAGTAGCCAGAGATAAAATTATCTCAAGCAGCTTGAGAAACAATAAGTCTTATATATATATATATAGGGGTTGTAGTTTGTCCTTTAACATGACACAAAAAAATTTCCTACACACACAACATTTTGTGGGACTCACATTTTTTAAAGCAAAAAAAAAAAAAAAAAAACTAAGGCACGCAAAATGAATCTCTATAACGTTTCACAATCACTTTTCCTACAACATAACTCTTATAAAACCCATATATATATATATATATATATATATATATATATATATATATATATATATATAGAGAGAGAGAGAGAGAGACAAAGTTTGATGTTTGTCATTTTAAATGACATGAGTTATGTCATTTTATTAGAGAAATAGACACAAAAAATGGAAATCATAGGAGAGAGAAAGTTGATGGTTTTTTTAATTTAAATTTTAAATAAAAAAATTATTTTGTGTATATCTCTCTCTTAAAATGACATAATTTTATGTCATTTGAAATGACAATATATATGTATATATATAGGGGTGTTAACGGGCCGAGCCGAGCCGAGCTTTGGTCTTAAAAGGCTAAGTCTGTGTTTAAATGTGTCGGTCTTACCAAACCTGTTACCTGTTACAAATATAATTATCGACCTGTGGCCTACTTTATTTACAAAAAATAAAAGCCTGATTTAGCTTGTTAGCCTGTTAGAAAATAATAAGACAACAAAATTTTTTCCAAACAGAATATACAATCAACAACACTAGTAATTCCATAAATATTCATAAATTCAATGTATATCCAAATAGCATAATATAGAACAAAATCATTCAAAATGTCTATTTAACTAATAAAATAAGGGTGAAATGAATTGAGAGGAAAGGAAGGGCTATTATAAATAGTATAAAAAATATAAATAAAAATAAAAATTAATATATTAGGCCAGCCTGAGAGGCTCCAAGGCCGAACTTTTAAATTAGAGCTTGAGGCCTTTTTACTAAACTGAGTTTTTATAAAAGTCCAAGCTTGGTTTAAACAACCAATATTAGGCATGTAAGCTCAGGCCTTCACAAGCCGAGCCAAAGGCCTCCGGCTCCTTTATCACCCCTATATATATATACATATATATATATATATATATATGGATTTGGTGTTTTTCATTTTAAATGACATAAGTTATGTCATTTTAGGAGAGAGATGTTACAAAAAAATAAAAATTCTAAAAGAGAAAAAGTGGGTGTGTTTTTTTTTCATTTAAATTTTAAATTAAAAAAAGTATTTTGCATCTATCTCTATCTTAAAATGACATAATTTTATGCCATTTAAAATGACAAATACTTTTATATATATATATATATATATATATATATATATATATATATATATATATATATAGGAAAATAGTTTTCTTATGCTGTAGGAAAAAAGTTCTCTCATGTAGTAGAAACAAAATTATAAGTGGGACCCACAGGTAAGAGGAGAAAGAAAAAATAGAGGTGAGACCCACCTCTCTTTTGAGTGTGTAGGAAATTGACTTCTCTTATGTAACATGAGATAAATATAATATATATATATATATATATATATATATATATATATGAAACCAAAGAATGCATATCTCTTTGTTATATATATGAAACCAAAGAATGCATATCTCTAGTAACCAAGAGTGCTAGTTATCTATCTAGTAACCAAACACCGCCGGCGCCGCCATGATCCACCACCGCTTCCTCCTCATAACGTACCCAGGACAAGGCCATTTAAACCCTGCCCTTGAATTTGCAAAGCGACTCATCGCTATGGGTGCAGCACACGTCACTCTTGGTATCACTGTGCACATGTACCGTCGCATGACTAAGAAAGTTAACATCCCTGGCCTCTCCCTCGTCCCCTTCTCCGACGGCTACGACGACGGTTTCAATGCCATCGCCGGCGCTGATGCCGATTACAAGCTCTACACGTCAGAGCTCAAGCGCCGGGACTCCGAGTTTGTGACCAATCTCATAGTCTCAAGCGCGCAGGAGGGTCACCCTTTCACTTGTTTAACCTACACCTTGATCGTTCCATGGGCGCAAGAGGTGGCGCGTGGGTTCAATCTCCCAACAGCGTTGCTGTGGATTGAACCAGCCACGGTGTTGGGAATCCTCTATTATTACTTTCACGGCTACGGTGATTACATCAATGAGAAATTTACCAAAGAGCCCTTATGTAGTTCCATCGCACTACCAGGGTTTCCATTTTTACTGTCACCACGTGACATACCATCTTTTTTACTGGTCTCGAATCCGAGTGTGTTGTCTTTCGTTTTTCCGTTGTTTGAGGAACAGATTAAAGTCCTTGACATGGAAAATAATCCGATAGTACTTGTGAATAGCTTTGAAGCATTGGAACCAGAGGCTTTCAGAGCCGTTGATAAGTTAAACATGATCCCGATCGGGCCGTTGATTCCGTCTGCTTATTTGGATGGGAAAGACTCAACTGATACTTCATTTGGTGGTGACTTCTTTCAAGACTCAAATGATTACATTCAATGGTTGGATTCAAAGCCTGGGTTATCTGTGGTTTATGTTTCATTTGGGAGCTATTTTGTGCTGTCTAAGAGACAAATGGAGGAAATTGCACGTGCGTTATTAGATTGTGGATGTCCATTTTTGTGGGTCATTAGAGAAAAAGAAGAGGAGGAGCTAGGATGCAGAGAGGAGTTGGAAGAGAAGGGGAAGATAGTGAAATGGTGTTCTCAACTGGAGGTTCTGTCACATCCTTCGTTGGGTTGTTTTGTGACACATTGTGGTTGGAATTCGACCATGGAAAGCTTGGTTTCTGGGGTTCCTGTGGTGGCATTTCCTCAGTGGTCAGATCAAAAGACAAACGCAAAGATGATAGAAGATGTGTGGAAGACAGGGATGAGAGTGGATCATGAGGTGAATGGGGACGTGGTAGTACAGGCAGAGGAAATTAGGACATGTTTGGAAGTTGTGATGGGGAGTGGAGAAAAAGGAAATGAATTAAGAAATAATGCAAAGAAATGGAAGAGTTTGGCTAAGGAGGCAGCTAAGGAAGGTGGTCCTTCCGAAAAGAATCTAAGGACTTTTTTGGATTATGTTGCAGAAGGCTTCCGTGTGGCTAACAACTCATGAGTTGGACTCTTGTGGTCTCAATTTCTCTGTCCAATGCAGTGTTTTCTTTTCTTCTTATCTATTCGCTGCACAAAACACGATAAGGTGGTCGAAAGGGTTTGGTTGTAATGGGTGTTCTGCTTTTCTTTTGTCCTTTATAAGTTCTGCATCCATTATTGTTTCATGGTGGAAAATTATTGTTTCGTTACTGCACACCAAATGTTTTATTTATGATAAATAACAATCATATGTTACATGAACAAGATTCTTGTCATTTAAAGCTACGGACAAAACAAAATAGTTGAATACAGTGTTTGTTCCAAATTTTTTATTATTATTTATTCTTGTCATTTCCCACCGTGCTTTCTCTCTCTGTATAATTATGATTGTTTCATATGACTATATTATTAATTTTTTTTAACACGAGAGGATCCATTTTCATCTCACTGTACTTTCTCTCTTTGTATAATTATGATTGCCACACATGACCATATTAATTTTTTTACATGAGATGATCCATTTCCATCCCAGCGTACTTTGGGTGTGCATGATAACCATTATATTCCATTCCCGAGCACTGTTTCTGAAAATAAACAATTCCTTTTTATTTCTGTGCCTTAGAACAGTTTCTGAGAAAAAAAAATATGTTTGATAACATGTTCTATTTTTATTCCGAGAATGAGAATTGTGTTTGATAACACCACAAATAATATAATAAAAAAAATTCCTATTAAATATAAAAAAATTTCGGATCATCACTTTCCTTTCAATATGGTGTGGTTGTGGTGGTGGCGACGGCGGCGGTTGTGACGGCAGTGACTGCGACGATGGCGGTGGTAATGGTGACAGCGACGGTGGTAGTGGTGGAGGTGACGGCAGTGGCTGCGACAATGGTGGTGGGTATGGTGGTTGGTGGCGGCAAGAATGGTAGCAGTGGCATGGTTGTGGTTGTGAAGGCATCATGGTGGTGGTGGTGGCAGTGGCTGCGGTGGTGGTGGTGGTGATGGTGGCGATGATGGCAATGGCGTGGTGATGGTAGTGGTGGTGTAATGGTAGCGATGATGGTGGTGGTGACGGTAATGGTTGTGATGATGGTGGAGGTGGTTGGTTGCGGCAATTGTAGTGGTGGTTGGTGACAGTGGTGGTGATGGTAGTGGTGGCAGTGGCGTGTAATGGCGATGGTGGCAGTGAAAGTGGCGGCGGCGGCGGCGGTGGTAGTGGTAATGGTGGTGGTGGTGGCAGTGGTAGTTGTGGTGGTGATGACGGTGACATGGTGGTAGTGATGGGTGGAGGTGGTGGTAATAGTGGCGGTGGTGAGGGGTGGTGACGACAGCACTAGTGGTACAATGGTGGCGACAGTCGTGTCGGGATGTTGGTGGTGGCGGCGATGATGGTAGAGGTGGAGAGTGATTAAGAGAGATAAATGTTTCTCATTTTGTGCCGGGAACAAAAAAAACTGAAATTTTTTTATTCTTTTTTCTGTTCCCCAACACAAAAATTAAACTGATTCATTTCGGGAACAAAAAAATAAATCAATTTTACCAAACGAGTTTTCTATCTATTTCTGTTCTCGAAATCAGAAATTAAAAAAGAATTGATTATGCATACCCTTTCTCTCCCTTGGAGTCCACATGGTAGAGGATCATAAACTTTGTCTTCTTAATCAAATGTGTTTTTTTTTTTTTTTGACTTTGAGTAATGAAATCATGAATCCCACGTTAAAAGAAACTAATAAATTACTATTAACTAATATAAAAGTTGTTTATTAAGTAACGAATTTATATATTTTATTAACATTAATTTAACAGTTTAGTCCTTTAAATATTTATTTAGCATTAATCTAATTCTTTGCACAACTCAGAGAGTCTTGAAATTATTTATAATTTGTGTGTAATTTAAGTGGTTTGAGTGATCATGCACTTTTATTATTTATTTATTTAATTTTATAAATAATCTGAAGGTATCCATCCAAAAACAACCTCTTCCAGCCACCTTATTTTCATAGTCATGTCAAGGCTAGCTCCTAATTGAAATTAGAGGGATGCACATTTGTTTAGGTAAAGCACTAATGCGTCATTTTATTCTCTGTACTAATTGAGGTGAGATTGGAATTTTTTTTTCAATATATGTTTAATTTTCTTTTATTCATATTTCACTAAGTAAAGTTATGAAAGGAGGCAAAAATGAAATTAACACCACGTGATGTAGAACTAAAACGAATTCATGGGAGGCGAGGTCTCATATCCTGATCCTAAAATTTACTATGACCAATAATAAGAAACCATGTACAGTCACAAATCCACAATCGCACTTTCGTCGGCTAAAAAGTACAAGTAGAAGGGGAGATGAAAAATAGTGGGAAATGTGTATATCTGGACATGATATATATGAGATTGTGCTTTAGCGATTATGAAGTAGATCTGATAGTGGTAGTGACCAAGGAAATTGATGCAAGTGAAAAAAAATTATAATATAAAAATCGTAACCATATAAAGGTAAATTAACTGTTATAATTTTGTAATTATCTATTATAATATTTTTTTTCTCTCTTCCTTTATTATTATTGATTTATATTTGTATGATTATGATTTCTCACATGACACATGATAAAATCCAGTTTCAGTGACCAAGATACTTCTCTGTGTAGAGATTATGCAGTGCGACATTTAGGGCTCGTTTGGTAGATATGATAGGATAAGAGTATGATATGATATGAGATTGATAAGAGTAGGATATGATATGAGGCTGATAAGCCTATATCATGTTCTATGTTTGATGAGCACCTGATTAACAATTTGATAAGTCATAAGATTACGTAGAAAGAAAAAGGAGAAAGAAAAAAATAAAATAAAATGCAATAAATACAAATATATTGGGTAGCGTGAGGATATATTGGATAGCGTGGGGATATATTGGGTATTATCTTATCGTATTGAATCATAACTCAGCTTCCCCCATAAGATAAAAAATCATGTATTGGATAGGATAAAATGAGATAATAGGATAAGTCAATCATATCCTATTGACCCACCAAATAAGAGATAAAAGTAGGATATGATAAGTTATCCTATCATATCTTCTTTATCAGGTGCTCCAAACAAGCGATTAAGTTATTAAGAGTTATAAGTATTATAATCACGATGTACAGTATACGATTCATATCTGTTAGCTTCATGAATGAGGATTGAAACGGCTACTTATGATCCTTTAAGATTGTGTTTGAGAGTCAATGTTAAAGAGAAAGAGATACAAGAGAAGGTTTTGCTTATATCGTAGGGAAAAAATATCTAATGTTACTTTAGATAATTTTGTCTAATGTTCATTAAAACGATGTCATTTTGCGGTTGAAAAATAAAAAAACTAGAATGATAAGGACTATTATAACCCTGAAATAAATTAAAATTACAAAAATATCATGATTTCTGCCCCAAAATGATGTCGTTTTGGTGAACATTAGATAAAATTATCTAAAGTAATTTTAGAAAAAACAAACCCTATATTGTATTTGAATTTTAAAATACTATTCTCACCCTTGAAATCAGAATATGAGAGGGATAGTAAATTATTATCTGCTCTTATTATTTTTCTCAATTTTTTTGATTTTCTCTCGTTCAATTAAGAAATAATGGCTAATAATTTTTTAGAGACAAAAAATAATTTTTTAGAGGGAAAATTATTTTTAAATATGAAAATTACCCAAATATTTTTTTTTAAAATTTAATCTCATTTGTAAAATATAATAATTATATTAGTTTTTCAAGAAATTGTAAAATTATAAAAATATCTCATTAACTCTTAATTTTTTCATTTATCATATTCTTAACTACGGAAATTTAATACCCTTTATTTTTCTTCACTCCCTTTCCTTCCCAAACTCCCCAACACACCCTAAGTATGTAGCACCCTAATTAAGTATCTAGATTTTTCTTCTTCTTAATTATTGGATCCTTGGTTAATGCCTATGCTCAAATAACATTTGCAGAGTTGTATTGTATCCATATTCACGTTCTTATCAATTCGATCAATAATCAAAGTTAAGGCTGTTAAAAAAATTATGTTTACATTTCTATTGTACATTTTATTTTATGGATCATAACTCATCATGAGTCATTCGCGTGGGTTATATCTAGGGAGTTGCTTTTAATTGCAATAGGGGGCATAGCTACAAACTGGGCTTTCCAAGGCCCTTCTGACTTCTGACCCATTCTTTGATTCAAGGTCGATCTCCTTTAAATTCTTCATATTTGTTGTGCTGCTTTGGAAATTTAGAACATTAACCTTTACATAAAAAATATCCAAAAGCTACAAACAATGAAAATTACATACAATAATGAACGGAGGCATCTGAACGCTGCCGTCAATGCATGTGCAGCCGTGCAGGGTTATGCCTTTTATGGAGTGTTTTGTTAAAATTCTATAATGGAGAAATTAACTCTTTCATTGATTATAATTGAATGTTACAAAGGTACATTTATACAGAAACTAGTAACTGAAAATCTATTTTCTAGGAACAGAAAATATACACGTTTGCAACAGTAACAAGACTTATTTGTTATGAAACAAACTAACAACAATAATTCAAATTCTAATTTTGAATTTAACTTTCTGTTTCAACACTCCCCCTCAAGTTGGTGCATGTATATCTAGCATGCCCAACTTGCAAAGTATTCTTCCAAGAGCTTTAACAGATATTGCTTTTGTTAATCCATCTGCAAGTTGGTCTTCTGATTTGATGTAGGGAATATTAATAATTTGTTGCTCCAGCTTCTCTTTTATGAAGTGTCTATCAACTTCAACATGTTTGGTTCTATCATGTTGAACCGGATTTTGTGCAATCTCAATGGCAGCTTTATTGTCACAATAAAGATTCATAGGCTGGTCATTTCCTAATTTTAAATCTTTAAGGACATTTTTAATCCATAGTAGTTCACAAATGCCATATGACATACCTCTAAACTCAGCTTCAGCGCTTGATCTAGCTACCATCTTTTGTTTCTTGCTTCTCCATGTGACTAGGTTCCCCTCAACGAATGTTAAATAACCGGATGTTGACTGTCTTGTGGTTTGGTCTCCTGCCCAGTCAGAGTCAGTATATCCTACTATGCTTTCATTCTTATTTTTCGAGAATAGGAGACCTTTTCCAGGTGATCCTTTTAAGTACCTCAGAATTCTGAAAACAGCCTTCATGTGTTCTTCACTAGGAGAGTGCATAAATCTGCTCATAACTCCTACTGCATAACAGATATCGGGTCTTGTATGTGACAAATAGATAAGTTTCCCTACAAGCCTTTGGTACATGCTAATA